AAGTATAACTCTGTTTTTCTGTTTGAAATGTTGTCCATTACTTAGAGAATTTTTAATTATTTCTCGGATAATGTAGAATGGTAACGGGGTGTTCATGAGGTCCCCGAAATAAGTTCATCGTATCTTTAATTCCACGGAAAGTAGTTCAGAGACATTAAGATGAGCAGAGATCTCGTGGGTTGAAAAAGATCAGCCCGGATGCGGGGATTAAAATACGAGTATCTAGATAGGGAAAGTTAATTCTTCTCGTTCCTCGGAACTTTCTTTCGCTAATGTAAAAACTAATTCACAGCTGCATTCAAAGTCCCTTAACAAAGGAACAATCTAAAAAGCGAATCAAACACTTCTTCTTCGTGAAAGAAAAAATTTCAACGAATCCCCGAATTAATCAACCATTTACAAACCCCTGAATCATTGGGAAAACCAGCAATTCTCCAATATCAACTTCACCAGTTCAATCTAATCAAATCAAACAGAAAAGGACCACAAGTTCCCTATTCGTCGTTCTCTAAATCGAATAATAAATCCAATAATCCCCAAAATCGCTCTACAATTCACATCAGCGTCTCAACTTCAACTTCCTCCTTCATCAAAATCCCATTTGCAGAAGTTTCATTGCTACTACCATCCTTTAACCAACAGTGTTCCCAGACGAACTCACTTCAGAGCTATGAATTACCAAAGAAGTTCGCAGGGGAGGTATTCCATGGGCAAAGGGGTGGACACGTCGCAGTGAGATGGCACGCAGTAGGTTTACGATCTGGTTCTCGCCTGCACAAGATGCAAATTCCACGGCAGTATGTCAGCCTAATTGATCGTAGACCGTTGTACGCTCTGAATTCGGCGCATTTTTATTCAAAACGCTTCAAATTGAACGTGTTGTGATTCTGATCGTTACGAATTCGATGCTTTGTGATTCAGAGCGTATTAAATTGAATGTATTACGATTCTGGGCGTCCTTGATTCCGTGCTTTTTTATTCAGAGTGCCTCAAATTGAACGTGTTGTAGTTCTGAGCGCCTCAAATTCAACGCGTTGTGGCTCTGAGCGCCTCAAATTCAACGCGTTGTGGCTCTGAGCGCTCCAAATTCAACGCGTTGTGATTCTGAGCGGCCTGATTTCGACACTTTTTTCTTCCGAGCGCCTCAAATTCAACGTGTTGTAGTTCTGAGCGCCTCAAATTCAACGCGTTGTGGCTCTGAGCGCTCCAAATTCAACGCGTTGTGGCTCTGAGCGCTTCAAATTCAACGCGTTGTGATTCTGAGCGGCCTGAATTCGACCCTTTTTTGTTCTAAGCGCCTCAAATTCAACGTGTTGTTGTTCCGTACGCTTCAAATTCAACGCATTGTGGTTCCGAGCGCTTCAAATTTAACGCGTTGTGATTCTCAGCGGCTCGAATTCGGTGCTTTCTCATTCTGAATTATCAAAGAAGTCCCTAAGGAAGATATTCCACGGGCCAAAGGGGTGGACACGTCGCAGCGAGATGGCACGCAGAGGTTTACGAGCTGGTTTCTCGCTTACACAAGATGCAAATTCCACGGCAGTAGCTCAACCTAATTGGTCGTTGACCGTCGTGTGCCACCGACTGGCTGGATCCCTATATTTACGCGTCGCCAACTGCGACAAACTGGAATCCTATTATTTTACGGTGGCGCTGATTCAGCGCAACGTGTAACTGGAGCGTATTCTAATGGCCGGGACCACGATTAATTAACCTTCCCCTCCCTCTTCCGTATTGCCTTCTATCCAACCCTCCTTGAAACACGACTGTGTTTACGCGCGGCTCACGACGATCACCCTATGTATCTGTTTCTGTAGAGTAGATTTCGATTCCTAGTTACACGATTTAGAGTGAAATCAATGGATAATTGATGGTATTAATTGGATTGGTTGGTGGATTCTTGAAGGGGACTTTCGGGGGTCGTTCTTATGAATCTAGCAGAGACGTGTGTTGTCACAGTGGAGCGAGTTATTAATTTTGGATCACTAAGAACGGTGTTGCAGATGGAAGAACTGTTTCTTTCGATATCCTGCTTATTAGGGCAATGCATTCGATGTTTAAAAAGGAGAAGAGGGATTAATATTCTCTCTTGTATTGTAGATTTGGAAAAGTAAAGATTTTTTTCTAAATAACGTAGAATTAAATGCATCGGACGCAATAAAGAATTGCAGATAATTCTTCGGAAGATTCACAATGTATTCCAGAGTCAGCGCATTCAATGCAAAGCCCTCAGTTCGGAAATCTAACAAAAAATTCCCCTTACTCTATAACACATATATAAAAAAGCAATGCATTCAATGCACTCGTAAAAATATGCTCTTGAAAAGTGACAAAAAAATTCCTCTGCATTGAATGCAATTGCTCCGAAAGAAGAAAAAAAAAACATCCCCTTTCCTCTTCAACGGTCTTATCAAACCCATAAGAAGTAGGAAGGGGGAGAAGGGAAGATTCCCGAAGGAAAACGCGCGGAAGTGCGATTTCCTCGAGAATCGAGTGCTCGTAATAGGACTAAGACGAGCGTAAAACGCGAGAGCAATAAGACAGAGACAAATATACGAGACGAAGACGAGAGAATCAGGGAGGATGGACACGGACGAGGAGAGGAGCGGATGACGTACGAAAACGCGCGCGAGGATCCGTAACCGCTAATGTGTGTCTGGTTTCAGCGTCCATACTGCATGACCTCAGCGACATGCAGCCTCAAATAAACGCGATCAAAATAGAGCACCCGCCGTACTACTGCAGCAGCTACACCCCTCCGTCCGCAGCCACGGCCGCGGATCATGCTCAGCCAGCGGCTAGCTTCAGTAAGTTTCAAAACCTCTCTTTAGTTTTCCTCCTTATTTTTAGTGGATGCACGTTCTGTCACCCCTGGTTCCGCACACGGTTCTGCAGCCTGTGTGTGCCTACATACGTCATTCGATGTTATGTCGCGATAGACGAATTGTTTTAAGATACGTGTTGTATATACAGGGTGTTCCGCAACTGGTGGCACAATCGTGAAGGGAAAAGAAAATGTTGAATACATTTTTTTCATAAGAAAATTTGGTTTGAGAAAATTAGTTGCGAAACACCCTGTATATGTATGTGTAGTGGTCGATTTTAGAGAAGGGAAGGGAGAGAGTTGAAATTGATTGATTGATTTATTGGGAATTGATGAGTTCGGGAATAAAGGGTGTGGGATTGAAGAGAATTTGGAGCGAAGTGGTGCGTTGGAACTGGAAGATTTGTGATTATTGGGGCGTTCAGGATTTGATGGGTTGCGATTTGAGACGCGAGTGTTCAATTGTGATTCTAGGCGCACCGATTTGACACGTTGCAATTCTAAGCGCCCTGAATTCGGCAATTTTTTCTTCCGAGCTTCTCAAATTGAACGCGCTGTAATTCTGGGCCCCTTGAATTCGCTGCTTTGTGATTCTGAGCGCCTGATATTCGACGCCTTTTAATTCTGCACGCCCCGAATTCGACACGTTGCGATTCTGCACGCCCCGAATTCGACACGTTGCGATTCTGCACGCCCCGAATTCGACACGTTGCGATTCTGAGCGCCCAGAGTTCGGTGTGTTGTGATTCTGAGCGCCTGATATTCGACGCCTTTTAATTCTGCACGCCCCGAATTCGACACGTTGCGATTCTGCACGCCCCGAATTCGACACGTTGCGATTCTGCACGCCCCGAATTCGACACGTTGCGATTCTGAGCGCCCAGAGTTCGGTGTGTTGTGATTCTGAGCGCCTGATATTCGACGCCTTTTAATTCTGCACGCCCCGAATTCGACACGTTGCGATTCTGCACGCCCCGAATTCGACACGTTGCGATTCTGCACGCCCCGAATTCGACACGTTGCGATTCTGAGCGCCCAGAGTTCGGTGTGTTGTGATTCTGAGCGCCTGATATTCGACGCCTTTTAATTCTGCACGCCCCGAATTCGACACGTTGCGATTCCGAGCGCCCAGAGTTCGATGTATGTATTGTGATTCTGAGCGCCTGATATTCAACGCCTTTTAATTTTGAGTACCTCGAATCGCCACTTTCTCATTCTGAGCGCCAATTCAACGCACACCGACATAAAATGACAATAAATCCGCGCCCTCTAATTCGAAGCAGTAAGATCGAACGCTTTCTGGTTCCAGTCGCCACAAATCAACGTACCATGATTCGAAACGGTTCGAATCGACACGAAGCTTCACAGAAAGTTGCACCGTGGTGCAATCGTTCTCAAAACGATGCGTCACGGTACGATGCACCGATCCCCTCGTTCTCCCTTCTCTTATGCACCTACACAGAGACCTTGTTTACCGGCGACCGTTTGCGAAACCACGATTTCCACGGTATTTTTATCGTTTTTCTACGCGCCCACTAAAATTAAACCGTTCGAGGACATCGAGCGACTATGCGGAATCGCGTTTTACCACGGCGTGCATCCTCTCGAAACACCTTTTCAAAGAATTGCATGCAATCTAAAACGTCTTACCTCTTACTAAATGTGAAGCAAACCGAAATATTCACTACAGGATACTTAACCCTAATGCGTTCTTCCGTTCGACTGTATACATTTAAGCCTTTGGGTCTTTTTTGACCCAAACACTTTGTGTGCAACAATTTTTGCTACCAGCACGTCGTATGAACCTAGATAATGAGCTTTATCAATACAATGTTAAGGGAACCTAATCTTGATGACAGCAAATGTTATTAAACAGGTAAAAAGGTGATGGGTCAAAAATGACCCTAAAAAGAAATATTCAGTGTTGAGTCTCGTCGTATAACCTGTACATATGTATACGAGGTTTGATCAGAAAATATTCGAGCTGATGTCGCAAAACTGTGTTAATAAACGAAAATTTTCGATTAAAATAGTCCCCTGTCTCAGCTACACATCGTTGCTTTTACGGAACTTTTTAAGTAGGAGAGACTGGAGTAAAGCCGGAACCTTAAGGATAAAATGGCACAACTCTGAAATTAATATAATTAAACAAAACTTGAAAATGTAGTTTTTTAAAGCAATATTTCCTTTAAACAATAGCTTACATTAAATTTTTACAAAAGAGAAGAAAATCCCGAGATAACAATTTTACGAATTTTCTTTACATCCACAACCAGTGCAGCTTTCACGCGTCCACCCACAGCAAATTATACACTGCATGAAACCTTCGTTCAATCTGGATGCACCAAGATTGCCGTGTTATGGTTCTTTTGTAATTACGAGGCATTTTATTGAAGTCTGAAAATAATGTTAAATTAAAATATTACGATGCCTTATGAATGAAAAAGCACAATCAAGTAATATCTATCTGAAATACTGCTTTAATAATGTTAATGCGTTTGTAACATGGTCACATCTGGGTCATAACCGGGTATTCGATTTTACCCCGTCCGGTTTTACCCCAGTATGATTACTGATACCACCATGACGAATTGAAAAAAAAATCCTTTTACACATTCATACTGTAATACATGAGAAATAGCACAATTCATACCAAAAAGTACTTACCTAAACAATATCATCAATTATGAAGTTTATAATTCGGTGAAAATTAGATCGGAGCACTCACGAACACAAAAATTATCATAACCTTAGAAGGCACATACGTATCGTGATCATATTTTGTTTGTGCACTAATCCGAATGACATATCTTTTAACCGTTTTAAAAATAATAATACTATGCCCCAGTTTTACACATGTATCCGGTTTTGGCCGGATTTCCTCTACCTACCGAAAATATTTTTTTTTTATTTTCGTATGCTTTTTCTCCGTGCTGATGTTCCGAATTATTCTAGAATTGAGTAACTTTTTAGTTTTTTTTATTCTCCGAATTTGTTAAAAATCATTTCATCTTTTATAATACACCGTCAAAGGGTTGAAATGTCCTCAAATCCGCCATTCTATATTATTCTCCATAATAAAAAATCGTAATAAAATATTCATAAGGTCGATAATATGGATGAAGTCAGCTTGGTTAAAAAGGATTGAATGGAATTCATCGATTGGACTGGGAGTAACAAATTCTCAGTGGTCACAGGTCGAAAGTTTTTCCCTCTATGGCTCAATCTCATCCAGTTTCTCGGCTTATCGCGAACTCCTTTGTTATCTGGATCTACTTTGCTCAGCGTTCTATAGATCATTTTCCCTATATATTTTTTTTATATTTCTCCGTTTCCGTTCTCTATTTTCTTTCTATTCTCTGCACTCTGGGCCGAGCTTTATCGCTCTCTCTCTCTCTCTCTCTCTCTCTCTCTCTCTCTCACACACACATATACACTGACTCGCCCCTCTTAACTCTTTCATCGATCAAACGATAACCCACCCCCACGCACACGCGCCACCAAACGGAAGTCGTTGGATGGAGATGGGAAAGAGGAATAACTTCCGGCTGAAGCCTTCTCCGAAGGGAGGAAAAAAGAGATTGGAATAATAGAAGTTCGCGGGAGCAAAGTGTCTCTCGTGCTAATTTCATGCCGGCGAGAGAGTTGTGGCGCTTCTTTTGATGGATTTGCGAGCTCTCTTGCATCTTTTTTTTCTCCCCTCGTGATTTTCATTTTGCCTCGATGAATGAATTATTGGAGAAATTTCGTGGAAGTACCCGACTTATTGTTAGTATTTCCTTTGAATTTCTTATTTAAGAATTTTAAGGTGTTTCGGGTAGGACATTCTTAATAGAGGATGTTATTTTTGTAAATTCGAAGGGTTGAAAGAATGAAATTCGAATTCTGTAATTTTGATTCTTTCGAAACTGAAACTCCTCTTCAAACTTTCATTTAAATTTCTCCTCGAAATATACATATCCAAAAGTAGACTCGAACGTTATTCGGTAAAAACAAAAAGACTTAACGTATTCGGAAACGATTATTATAAATTTAGAGAAAAAAATTATCTAATTTTTCAGGGGAATAGGAGATTATGCAATAATTGTGCAATTCGCTATATTTTCATACATCAATACCACCAGAAATACAACTGTTTAATCCCAACCACAAGGAACCACCCTTTTCCCAAACTTTCGAAACTTCCTTCAAAATTCAATCTTAAAAAAAAAAAGAAAAAAAAGAAACTCAATATCTTCCATTCTCAAACCAACTCCAAAGTAACCATTCAATTTCCTCTAACACTCGTAAACTACCCCGAACTACGTCCGCAAACGCAACTATTCAACCTTTTAAAATTCCCAACCAAGCAAGCAACAGAAGAGACACACGAATTACCCACGACTACGAGACAAGAAATCAGTCGATTCGACTGGTGGAAGGAAAGGAGACACGACCCTTGGAATACACGGGTGGAAGATTGAAGCTAGAAAAAGATGAAATGAGATAGGAGAAGGGAGTGAACGTTAAGACTTTCGACGAAAAGTTTCGACTCTTTGGTGCAGAGCAACGACGGCGGATAGACGGAATTTACGGACGGAATAAAATGACCACTTTCTCAAGCAAAATATACACACGTACACATAGAGAGGCGGAATGGAGGGTGCAGGAAAAATTCCGGCAATAAGCATAGCTGGACCGAGGCCAACCGCGTCGCTCTTCCTCCCCTTCACCCCCGTTGCTCCCCTTTTTATCATACATACGTTGCCTTTATAGCGGGAACCGTGGGACACTTGATTGACTGTTTTGTCGTTAAATTAACGACCGGCGTAAATATCGCGGTGAACGAGGCTAATTTTATTGCCGCGTTTCCACACGTTTTACGCGAATGCAAATCAGAGGCTCACCGACACAGATCAAATCAGACGAAATGAGGCGAGACGTGTCTTCGTTTGCTCTTCTTTTGGTGTTTTTGTTTGCTACAGTGTATTTAATGGTGCTCGT